AGTTTTATAGCACCGGGTGAGTTTCCTTCAATCCTTAGCAAAAGGACTTTTAACTATAAGTTTAAGGACTTAAAATTTTTTTCCTTTGGAATAAACAGCAAAAGGGTGATTAAAACTTTGATTTTAGAAAGTTACAAATGGATTAAGGGTCCAAATAAATTTGAAAGGAAGGTGGGAAGTCACTTCTTTATATAGTTTTCTTTTTCTTTACTATATTTTTATAGCAAAGAAAGAGTACATTCCTCTCTCTAAAGAGTACATTTATGATGCTTCATGTATTTGTACTCACACATTTACACAATTTACATCAGCAGCCTAGGAAGAACTCCTATACAATGTTCTCTTTGAAAAATATATAACTTATTTAAAAAGTAAGGTTGGCTGAACAGGGCAGACTGGTTCCTTTCATATGAGTTTTGTGTAGGAGATCTTCCCCCAGTGAGCATTCAGTAGACTTCCCCAACTTGGTGCCCTCCAAATTCACTGGGGCTGCAATTCAATCTTTTGACCATATAGGCTTGGGCTTCTAGGAGCTACAGTCCCAAAGTACTGAGAGATGCCCCAGCTGGAGAAACCTAGGGTGTATTAAGTAGCTGTTACTATCAATCAAGTACAATGGGAATTGTAACTTCTACTTGATGTTAACGTACTCTGATACTCCTTGGAATTAAATCTGTTCCACCTTGCTGGCAATGGTGCTGGGGAGATCCTTAAATTGAATCTAACTCCCAAGAAGGCATTCTTCCAATGAAATTCAACATCGAAACAGCAGAGAAAAGCCCAAAGAATGCCCTGCTCTATGAAGTAGATGTAGCTTTGATTTCTACCAGTTACAATGGTATAAAAGTCACTATGGACAACAGCAAATGCATTTATTTGACTTTGCCTCTGAAAATGCTTTCAATGAAAATGACATGTGTTTGCAAGGCAAGATGGCTGAAATTGGGACTTACTCCCAAATCATTCAGAAGAGGCAAGGGGCAGTGGAGCCCAGCAAATTAACTACTTATGTCATCCCCGTCCACTAACACAACACACACACACACACACATATCAAGAAAGTTTCTTAGAGGACCCACAGTTTTGCCATTCTATGGAAGGCTGCTGCAGATGAAAGTAACCTTCCTTTGGCAGAACATCCCATTGGCATAACAAGACCTTTAAAAAATTATTAGAACAGCAGCAGAATTCTACCACTCAGTCTTGATTTTTAAAATTACCTTTAAATAGCACATTTCCTTCCCCTGAACCAAGAGCATCATCCTCTAAAATCAGACAGTTGTCTAAAAATAACAAGTATGTTCCCATCAAAGCAAATCTCAGATTGAATTATTCTGAATTGTCTCACACAATAGTAGTAACAACAACAAATGCAAAGGCATTGGCCCTTCAGCAAGGGTGACCTTACCTGGAATCTGGGTATTTGGTCAAGGTTGCTAGGCTGCTGGTGTACATGTGACCTCCTACATCAATATGCACCGGGGCGTTAGATTTGGTGAGCTGGGCAGGGAGAGGAATTCCTTGAGCAGCGATGGGAGAAACTGGGGACCGTGTCAGAGAAAGACGGGACATCGCTCTGCCTTCCTCCTAGAAACCCCAGACAGAAAAGAACAATTTCCTCTTAAATGCAGTTATGCGCTACCTTGATTCCAGCGTGATCACAGATCTAATAAGATCTCTTTTGCATCTGCCTGATCATATATTCAGCTAACAAATTATTGCCACCTCCATAATTAAGTGTATTTGCATCATAGTCTTCAAAGGACCAGCGGCAAAGAAAAAGATGCTTATTAGCAATAAGAAATCAAGGGGAAAAAAATCTTTTTCAAGGTGTCAGCCTCAAGGGGCATAAAACAAACTGCAAAATTCTAATTAAAGGTCGCAGGCTTATGTGTTAGATGTGAAATATCCCCTGACAAACGAATAACCAATTTGTGAATTGGGATTCAGGGGTTTTTGCAAGTTTGTCTCAGTAACAAGACACCTCTAAATTAGTGACTTCCTCAGTACCTAAGGCGTTTCATTTAGACATGTAGTAAAATTCACATCAAACTTAGAACTATTTTTGTTGCTTTTTAAATAACTAACCACAAAAGAAAACAGATAACTATACGTTATCTTCAGGACAAGGTACCCAGAAGAGGAGAGAATGGAAGGACAGGCAGAACTAAAGGTTTAATCAATTACCACTGCCCTGCAATGTCTTTTCTATGTATAATTTCCAATTATCCACTGGCCTCACTTTGAAACACGCATACACCAATCCCCTTATATTTAATATCTAAAGCCCCTCTTCATTTGAAACTCACAGATACATTTTTAAATGAAATGTATGCCTTACAATTTTTATTCCAATGCTATGAAATTTTGTTCTATGCAGGAACTAAGGGACTTTGTCAACGGTCACTTTTTAATGTTTGACATAGAGCAGTCTTCCCATTGTTTTCACTGGCATAGATAATCATGTAGGGCATACAGGTAGCCAGCATAAAATCTTGCAAAAGATAGAGCAGACCGACCACTTCTATCCTCTCCCTTGTGTATTAAAGCAAAATATGCCAAGGATTATAGCAATGAAATGTTTCTGAGCATAATTTAATGTTCTGATATTGCATGACTATATTCTGCCAAGATTTGACAAGTACCTCCTCTCACAGCACATCTGACAGCACATTTTCTTTTCTTAGAAATTAAACTGGTCTCCTTTTTCAGAATCTTTACATTTTCCTTTGAAACAGCATCCCAGGGATTCACCTGGGCAATGCCATTCCCACCACGTAACAGGTGGCAACTCATTAGGAAGCACTTTTTCTGATACAGAAAGGACCATTTTTGGACTTTTTGGACAAATGTAGCAATGTGGTGGGCAAAGACTCCTTTATGCTCTGTCTTTGGTATCACCTCATGCTATATCCCCATCCTTCCCTCTCTCTTAGCATGAAGACTCATCCTGTGCAGGACCCAAAACTCAGTGATCAAAAGCCTCAGCTAGTTAACAGGAAACTCTTGATAATAATTAGATCACAGTACAAGCTTCAAGGAGAAGGGCTGAGTTTTCTAAGTGGGTGGGTGGATCTTGCTTTTCTCCATTGGCTCTTGCTAAGGGAATATTTCATGTGGCAACTCAAACAACTTGGTCTTTATAAATGCATGTTTTATATCTGTTACACCTACCCATATCTCATTGTCTGCTGGGGTCGAATTCTGTTTGCAAATGTACCACCTCTGTAAGGACTGATACCTAGTCTTTTCCTAACACCACACCCTTATATTCATACTATTTTTTGACGATTAAATCCAAGCATCTCCAGCTAGAAGCTTAGCTGGACTGGTTCAAGTCCAAAGCCCAAGAAAATATATTTCTTGCTTAAAATGTCCAGTCAGTTGAAGCTGACCATTTCTTTAATGGAAAGAAACTTTCCCCCTTGCTTGTGTTTTTGGAATGAAATTTTAGAACAAAGACACCTCTTGCAATAATTTTTTGTTTGAAAGAAAAGCTTTATCTTGAAATATATCTGTATGCTGCCTCCCTCATCCCCACCCAGCTCAAAAGCAAGGGTTCAACATGCTGCTATGATTCTCTTTGATGTTAACAGTGCAGGAGCATCCTATCTAACATCAATATAGAAGACATATCTTAGCTGTGCCAAAGAGCACATTTGGAATTTGGAAACAAATTCCCAGATTATTGTTACATGGTAAATAGCATTAGGTTTGCAAACCTTACAGAAGCTTATTTACCTGAAAGTAAATCCATACTGTCCAGTAGGGCTTACTTTGAAGCATTTTTGCACTCTGTTGCAGCATTATTTTCTCTTTCAAGAAATAGCTAGAAAAGTATATGTTATTCCCTAGCAGGACTTCCTGAAGCCTGTCTTGCGAATTCTTTCTCTCTCTCACAGCAGGAGAAAAGTCAAGAAAAGGGGCATCTATAAAACTTACCAAATGTGATTCTAAAACTAAGACCCAAATAACAACAACAAAAAAAAAGGATGTCGACGCTGCAAAACCACTCATCACTTTTCTCACAGAAGATGGGTAATATACACTGAATTATGGACATGCAACTTATGCTGTGCCCTGAAAATGGCATATTACTCAAGCATTACTTATTATTATGTATTATTAGAAAAAGCATTGTAATAATTCTTAAAATAACAATTTAAGAAATCCAGTTAGGAAGACATTAAGAATTGTGAGGGAGACATGCACCAAGTTTTGAATAATCCGTGTAGACAATCTGTCCCTGAGAACAAACTATGTCAACCTGCCACGGATAGGGTATGTGGGGTCTCCCCACACCAACCAGGCCAAAAATAATGTGAAACTCTGGAGGGCACCTCTCCATTAATGGAGCTATGTGTGGGAAGTGGATCATGCCCGAAATCAGTCGAGTTGATGTGTGCGTCTGTCTGGCACGGCTCACTGGGATCTTTCACACCCTTCCTCTCTCCCTGCTTTCCTATGCTAACTGCCAAAGCACTGCTTGTAAAACCTATTTGCCCGTGGAAAGTGAAATAAGCGCCATCCCATGCTCATTTACACACAAAATGATTTTGTGTCCCATTGAGCTCACAGTTGTTCAGCTCTCTAGGGGTGATTAAACTAGCTAGGCTGCTACAGCTTGAGATAAGTTCACCAAAATTGTTTCTCCACATAGCTGCTTCTCTGGGACTCTGTTATTTTATCCATAAAAGGTAAACAGAAGGCAGTTGTGCGAGCTCCATTCTCCTCCATGCCTGTGGCAATTACCCTGGGGGGAAAAAAGTGGGAAGGAAAGGCTGCAGAAATTTCCAGGGTGTTGTCTGCCTGATTCTCTGCCTGCCCCCCCCCCACACACACAAGCCCACAGGGCTATTCTTTAATAAGTAGAATTTCAGACTGAAATCGTACTTAAAAAAAAAAGACTTCAAAAGTGCAAAGGAAGTTGGGTTGGATGAAATTTGGGCTGGGGGACACAGGAGCCATTATGGGGGGTGGGAGTTGGGTGAGGGAGTGATAGAGTGAGCTGAAACCCACCTTAAGAAAGTGAAAAGTAAAGCAGAGAAAGAGCCAAAAGATAAAGGTGGCAAAAAGTGAAGCAGCAGCCAGGCAGGAAAGGGAATCAAATAAATAACTATCAGCAACTGCTGGAACACAAAGCCATGCCAAAGGAGGAACAAAGTTTAAATCAAGGGTTTCCTCTTAAAAGCCTACATATGGGAAGCAAGACTAATTAAGGATATAAAAACGCTTTTGTTTCCAAAGTTTATTGTTGCCTGGATTAACAACAACAATTGAAACTAATGCTATTATTCACTCGTGTAGTTTAATTCCTTCGTGCCCATTTAAGACACGAAATGAAAACTGCGCAAACATCCGCAACCCCACGTTTTCGAGCCACCCTTACACTCCTAACCCCCCGCCGGCTCACGCACCGAACCGCGGTCAACCTGGGCACAATCTTGCAGGGAACTGCGTGGCTCGGCTCGCTCTCCTTCCACAGGGCCCCCCGACCTCGCCTCTCCCCCTGGAGCATCGGGAGCCGGGACCTCCTCCATCCCTTCCTCCCGACGCTCGCCTCCCGGTCCCGGCCCAGGTGTCAAGCCCGGCCCCGCGCAGGGCGGGGGGCGACAGCCGAGAATCCGGAGGGGAGAGAGGGCTGTTTCTCGCCGCGAGAGCGCCTCGAAGTCCGGTCGGGGGGCGTCCAGCGGCAGAGGGAGGGCCGAGAAGGGCGCCGGGCCCCCAAGCAGCGCCTCCCCTGCCCCCGGTTGGCTCTGGTATCCGCCGGGAAGGGGCGGCTTTGGCGCAGCTCTCCCCACGGAGCGGCTCCCTTCAGAAACTTTCTCGGCGCGCCGAACTTCCCGCCGCCCTTCCCCGCTCAGCCCGGGAACGAAGCAGCGGCCATCGCGGCCACCAAAACGCGGCACGGAAGTGACCTCCGTCGCGTTGACCCGCCGCCCGTCCAGCAAGGAGCGAACGCGGAGCCCCGGGCGGGCGGGTGCC